TGTGTGTGTGTGTGTGTGTGTGTGTGTGTGTGTGTGTGTGTGTGTGTAAGGGAAAGAACACAGGAAGAACTGTGATCGCTTTTACAGAGAAGTCTTGTAAACAAAAATAATACAAATAATTTTATCTTTTCTACATCTGTGCACATATGAGACTATTTTTACAATGTTTTTAAATTTTAAATAAGTGCGTTGAGTGCAGATCTACCAAAGCAAACAGAGACAATGCAGACAATGACAATGTAAGACAAATTAACTGAGAAATACGACAATTATAAACGCTAAACAGTAGTTTTAAACCAACTCGAGTTAAAAGCTAGTTTACTCCACGAGTCTCTCACAGTTTAGGCTGAATGATGACGTGAATTTATTGTCATTTTGAATCTCTTACAAATCTAAATTTACTGATTAAAGTTTTCAATAATTAGTCTGAATGCCTTGTAAATACAGTAAAATGAGAAGCAGCCATCATAGAAGTTTGTTCTTGAAGAAGTTGCTGATTCATCCTCTCTCAATCGACTGTTTCAGCTCAATATGAAGTCAAACAAGATACTGATTTACATTTTTTACGGTAAAGTACGTCGATTTCTTGTTATTCTATGACATAAAGGACAATACAATAAGGCACTGCTGTGTATTCCCTTCACTGTTGACGTGCCCTTAAGCAAGGAATTAAAGTGGAAACTGCCCCAGTGGACTCGCTCATGATAAATCCAGACAGCGGTTGGTGAATGTGTGGAAACATGGAGCAGGAAGAGAGGTGCAGTAGCGCCCCCTAATGGACACATTGTGTAGAAGCAACCAGTCCACAACTAGAGTCCCGAACCCTTTAGTTCTTGTTCCTCCTTTCCTCTTTCAAGAAATCTTTCTTTCCTGTCTCTTGAGATTATGCTAATGATAAAAGTGATCTTCGACCTCAGAGGATTTAAAAAGATCTCCAATATCTTGCCCCTTCTTACCCGCTGTCTTCTCTTTCTTTGTGCCCAGGTCGGTGTACGATGGTCAGGAGCATGGCCTCTTCATGGAGAAGCTGGACGTGCGGATCAGGAACCACGACCGCGACATCGAGAAGATGTGCAACCACCACTTCCAGGGGTTCGTCGACTCCATCACGGAGCTGCTCAAAGTACGGGGGGAGGCGCAGAAGCTGAAGGTGAGGAGGGGACGGGGGAGTGGACGGAGCAGCAGATGGCGAAACGCTCCAAGATTTAAAGAGCTCAGGAGGTTGTGAGCTCAATTTTCGTCAGACGGACTACTTTAATTCTTGTTTTTCTCTCTCAGAGTCAGGTGACTGAGACCAACAGGCGTCTTCAGGGTGACGGCAAAGAGGCAAGTGTTGGAAATATCAAAACTGTCCCTTCAGGACTTGTTTTCTGTAGACTTCTTAAGTAACGCTGCTTCCTTCGCCTCCTCAGCTCATGAGCGCTATGGAGGAGCTGCAAAAGTGTCGAGTGCAGCAGAGAAACATCGCCTCCACCATCGACAAGCTGTCGCACTGCTTACCAGGTAACGCAAACTAGACGTGAGAGTGTACTTTTGGGCTTAAAATTTGTTTGAGACGGATCTGCAGCTCTGCTCGTATGACGCTTCGATGTGTTTTAACCTGCGTCTCTCTTTGCTTTCCCCAGTCCTGGAGATGTACAGCAGACTTCAGGAGCAGATGAGAACCAAAAGGTGTGTTAACGATTCTGTTGTTCGGGTTACATCTCACTTTTTATTTTCTGCGTTTGCACATATTTTAATTATAGTGTCAAAATCCTGGGTATGTAGCTGATGTTTTTTGCAGATAAAGGTTTATAAATCAAGTGGACAAGGGTTAGGTTTGAGGGTTGGGCTCATTCGTAGAGGAGGTGAAGGAGGGGGGTCTTGGGGTGCTCCCTCTTGACTATAAAACTGTCTCTGAATGGTGGGGAAGGAGCCGGAGCATCGGCTCTGGACCCCACTTAGATAGGAAGTGGACTGAGTCATTAGTAAGCGGTGCTCTTTGACCATTTTGACTATTGTTTCCAGCCACTAGATGGAGCCAGAGCATTTGGTACAGTGACGCTCTTTCTTCTTCTTCTTCCCTCCCTGCCCTCGGCCTGACCTGTAGATAGGAGTCTGGCTGCTCATAAATTAGTCGTTTGTTTGTGTGTTTTTCTAACTTCTCTGTGTGTCCTGCGGCTGAGAGCAGGGAGAGGTCAGCCAGCAACGACTGCTCCTCGAGAGCTGCAGTGTGAAGTGACGTGTTTGGGGATGTTGTGTTGCTGAAGGTCCCTGAGGTGTATTTATTTCTTGTTGGTGTGTTTCTGCTTGTCTGTTACGTTGTTTTATTGCTGTGTGTGTGTTTGTTTCGTGTCTCCTCCTGTAACCAGAAACTCGCAGGTTTAATCGACATCTGCACAAAGCCCACAAAGCTACATGTGTGAGGACAGGGAGGCCAAACTAAATCAGATTTGACAAGTTTGATCTGAACCTGAAGTTTAAATAAAGTTCATAAGGAATCAATAGACTGTTTGATTGAATAAATGTGTGTGCGTGCTTTAGGTACTACCCGGCGCTGCGGACGTTGGAGCAGCTGGAGCACACGTGTCTTCCGCGGGCCGGTCAGTACCGGTTCTGCTCCATTATGGCGGAAAACATCCCCAAGCTGAGGACGCAGATCCGGGACACGGCGATGACGCAGCTGAGAGACTTCCTGGAGAGCATCCGGAAACACTCGGACAAGATAGGAGAGACCGCCATCAGACAGGTAGACAAACACACACGTATGACGGATTTATAAGTAAACCAGAATTACAGTATTTATCGTAGCCAGAAGCTGTAAAAAGAGACATTATTGATGAATTTCCAACAGTCTTTGTGTGTGAGACGTACACTTCCGTCCGGAAAAGCCACCAAATCGAAGCCTAAAATTGTCTTACATGTTTATTTTAAACCTTAAAAATAAACTGTTTGCACTAGTTACATCCTGTAAAAATAGAAAAATTGTGAGCTCCTCCGATAAGCCGGGAACAACTCGGCTGAGAACAACTGTCACGTTACAACAATTCACTGAAATCTCGACTTGTGGAATAGTAACTGTGTTATATTGCACAAAATACACGTTTGAGTTCTCTCTGCTTCTTGCCATGGTTGTGCTGTTTCCATCGAGTCCATTCAATCCTACATTACCCATAATGCAACTGTTCAAAGCTGAAGATGCTTGATGTTTTTTCTGTTCTTTTGATGTTCTTAGTTATCTTTTAAATTAGTGTGTGTGTGTCAGCCTGATACATGTTGTAGTTCTACCTGTGTGTACCAACATCATTGCACTTGTGTGTGTGTGTGTGTGTGTGTGTGTGTGTGTTTGCTGATGAGGACTGCACAGCGCTGTTTTACGAGCGTGTCTTTCTGCTCTCTTACCACAAGTGGTTTTTGTTCTCCATCATGTCTTTCTCTTTCTGTCTGTTAATCAGAAGCAGCCTGTTAGTGTGTGTGTGTGTGTGTGTGTGCGTGTGTGTGTGTGTGTTGCTCTGTGGTTCCACTGCCAGTAAACAAGCATGTAGGCGCTGCAGGAGACGCCGTGGCCTGTCAATGAACACACACACAGTGCGCAGAGACCCTGCTTTTCAGCACTTACCTAATTGTTTTTCTGTTTTCCGAGGCCAAGGAATTTCTATTCGAGCGTGTCCGTTTGTGTGTTTTGTGCTCTCTTGCGGTATCTGATAGCTCAAAGTGAGGCCTCCTTGTTTATTTGTGTGCCTCCATTATTTGGGGAATGTTGCTCCGTGGGATTTGAGGATGAAGGGAACGAGGAAGGAGCGCTCGACGACAGACGGATGAGCGGATGGAGACTCGGAGAAAAGTGGCTGTTGTGTCGTACATATATATTCTAATCACGACTTCCTCTGTTGAATACTGAATCGGCACATTGACCTGGTGGACTTGGACGCCGGTTGGCCCCCGGGACCTTTTGGTGCTCTTTGCCCCACTCTTTCTGCCTGTTTCTCTCCTGCAGGATCAAAGTCGGGGCTTCTGTGGCTCAGGAGGTAAAGAGGTTCGATGCCCAGCTCCTCCGTGTGTCGCAAACTGTGCTAAAAAAACACAATTGAGACGCATATTCTGACTGCACTCTCCACAGAGTGCTCCTAAATCCTGTATCGGCATATCCCACGTGTCTTATACAGATAATTTGGAATATCCAAAAAGCGCTACATAGCAGCCACGTATTAAAGATTTCAGATAAGATCGTTTATTTAGGATTTAAAGCTTTTCTTTTCTCTATGACTCTAGATTTTGGACTATTGGTCTAACAAGCAATTTGAAAACGTAATAGTAGTTGCTTCTAAAAATATGAATGTTTGGTTTGCAGTGCACTCGAATGTCTGTCAGTCATAAGGTCCTCCTGTTCTGCACTGTTTCACTCTAAGAGTTTGTTAAGTGTCACATTATTTTTGGCTCCCAACTGTGGCATGCAATCAAAAATATCAAGAAATTTCTGGCAGGAAATATCGGAGGAAATGGTGGATAATTCTGTAGGGAAGTCTAAAATATCAACGTGATATTACAATGATCTGTCGGCGTTGGACAGCGTTAACAGCCCACACAATTTGACCCATTAAGAACTACAACAACAGACATACTACTGCATTTCAGGCCATGAAGAAGAGTATTTTGTCCTCTAGGTGTCACTAGAGGATCACTTCTCACTCTTAATCTAAAACGTTGCTGCCTCTGGTTGACCTGTGATAGAAGGTCCTCACTTCAGTTAGAGAAACGCAGCACATGCTTCACTAATCGGATACCTCTACCTGAAACTTTAAGATGTCCTGGAGGCGTTTAAGAAGCCCCTTTAACGTTTAATTCGTCACCCATCTGTAGGTTAAAACATTCGTTTTAACTCCAAGCAAGGAGTTGATAAAGATCAAATGATGACAATCTTTTATCCAAGTCATAAACACCGAGCAGTAGACGCAGAGGAGTTAGTCGCCGCATACGCAGCACAAGTAGTCCCCACGTATCACTCCGCGCCCGTGCACTCCGAACCCTTCAGTGACCCTTAGGTGGGGGTCCTGGGACCGCACTTTTGGGAATCGCAGGCGTAGAAAATCCACTTGCAGTCGCCGAGGAAGCTAACCGCTAACTCCTCTAACCACTAATTACAAGGGAGATTATGGAAACCCCAGTGGTCCGGCAGTCCTGACACTGATACTGGGATTATGTTGTAGTATCAGATGTTTGGCTCGGAGCGCTCGCACTCAATCAGAAGGAAGTGTGTTTATGTGTGTGTGGAGGAACAAATTAGACTTTCTTCTTCTTTCCTTCCTCTCCTTTTGTCCCTTCTTTTTTCGTTCTCTCCATCTCTTTCTCTCTCAGACAGCGTGTCTCTCTGGTGTGCTCTGTTCCAAATTAGCCCTAACTCTCTGTACCCGGCCGTCGTTACAGCTCCCTCGACCGAGGATGTGAAAATAAATAGATCTGGGGAAGGAGGAGGAGGGGATGGAGGGAGGAGACGGAGGAGAGCACAGGGCTTACAATGGAGCTATTGTCTGCTGCCACATGCCCATAGAAGAGGAGGAAGAGGGGAGGAGGAAGAGGAGAGAGGGGGAGAAAAGAGGGTTGAGAGAGGGGAAGAGGAAGAGATGGAGGAAGAGTACAGCAGGGAAAGGGAGGAATAAGTCAAAGAAAATGATGGAAGTGGAGGAAAAGAAGGAGAGAGGAAAGAATATGTAAAGAGGGGGATGGAAGATGGTGAGGAGGAAACGAGGATGGAGGAGAAGTGGAAGAGGGAAGATAAGGATATCATGTTGAAGAAGTGAAGAAGAGGATCAGAAACAGTTAGAGTGAATGGAGGATGAGGAGGAAAGCTATGACCTGCTGCGGACGTATTTCAGACACCGAAAACAATCAATATGAGTCTGAACCGAAACAGTTATGTTCTCGTCGAAGCCACGAGACTCCATTGGGGGAGAAAAACAGTCATTTTACCTCACAGAGCAACGGGAGTTGCTGTTCTACCTCTGCCTTCATCGGTTTGTTTGTTTGTTTGTGTGACTTTGGTGTTTTTAAAGGGTAAGTTTTGATTCACCAAAGTCACATGATAACACAAACAAACGGCAGAGGAATCCTCTTGAAATGTCTTTATCATTCTTTTATTATTTGTCATTTCCCTCTTTCTCTTTAACTCTGTCACGTCACATTTCCTCCTCTCTCTCAAGATGTCTCTCTCCGTCTTTCTCTCTCTTCCACTCTTTCCATCTCCTCATCTTTCCATCTCCTTCTTTCCCTTTTTTCTTTTCACTTTCAGCAACAGACGAGTTCAGAGCTTCTGCTGTGCATTCGGTAGTTCTACACACACACACACACACTAATGGGAAACAGACTGCTGGGCCTGTGAAGTGGAGGAAGATTGATTACCTGTATCTAGTTACTGAACACACACATGCGTGTGCGTGCAGCGAGGGTGGCGGAGGGCACACGCTGCGTCGTTGTGTTCAGCCATCGCAGGGAAAACCAAAACGGACTGTTACAGGTCGCTGTGTGTGTGTGTGTGTGTGTGTGTGTGTGTGTGTGTGTGTGTGTGT